TAATTACTCGAAAATAATTAACAACTTAATTATCCCGAACTTTAATAATATTCCTAAATAGGCTCTGGCCTAAAACCAAAACGGCAGAAGCCTTTATTTTCGGTACGATTCGTAGTTTTTGCAGTATCGAACATGTCCACCTTTCGTGAAACACCCTGCATACTACAACACATAATGTTCTCTCCATGGTACTAAAATTGAGGTTGCAGAATACCCTAGTACGCACTACCATGCACTTTGCCAGATTTTTCTTCTAGGAAATGTTAATCCTAAAATTGCCTGACAATGCGCTCAAAACGGTGAAAACACTCATATTTCTAAAATTTATTAAAGGGATGCTGAACCGAAATTTTGATTCCACAAAACACGCGGTAAAAGCGTGCAACGGGATGCTACAAACACCAAAACATCACGCATACAGCGATATCTTGAACGGATGACCAAATTTTTCAAGAAAAGGAGGCGCATTTGACAGAGATGATGTCGTCATGTTTCTCCGAGAAGGAGAGGGAACGGCCTCGCGTCTTCTCCGCCTCGCCGCCTTGAGGGAGCGAAGCGAAGAGAGAAGGAAACTCGGTATATTGACGTCACGCGCCTCGTCGGCCTGGTTCAATCTCGACCTCTTTTTCCAAAAATACGGCCATCCATTCGAGATATCGCCTTACGAGTAGCGGTGTAGGGATTGTAGCGTCCCGCCTACATCTCCTGCATTGTTTTTTCTGAAATCCAAATTTCGGTTCACCATTCCTTTAAGAATTAATCTACAGCCCTTTCAGGGGAAAATCGAAGGGTCGTACGACCTTTATTACGTCTTCATAATGAACCTCCGAAAGAATCAACACTCTCGTGTATTCCTGAAACTCAGGTTTGTGTAGCGAAATTTGCCCGTTGAGTCACTTACTTAAGGGTGCATAAACGGAGTATAGCGTGATCGCTAGAGCGCTTCGCGTTCCCACCTCGACAGGGCGAGCAAGGAGCAGGAAAATCGAATCCAAATGCTCGCATGCGCGTTTACACTTGCGACTTCCAGTCGCGCGACCAACTAGTGACACGTGACAAGCGAGAAGCGACGTTCACACTGGAGGCGATCGACGAGCAGCTCCGGAGAATTGCTTTCGGGAACTCTCGAGAGCCGCCGCCGATACCGTCCTCCCCACTACAGCTCCCCTATCCGCAGCTTTCACGACCTATAAGGGTGCGCACTGGCGCCTGTAAAAATGACCGTCATTTGGATGATCGTCAAAAAAACAGCAGCGCGAGGTTGTGTATGCGACGCCTAAGTAATTTTAGTTTTGCAATATACGAGCAGGATTAGAGCTTATTTTATTTCTTTCATGCCAGGATAGGTGTAGGCAAGCACCTTTATTGTGAAGCCGATCATCCAGGAGCTAGGGAGCGCGATTCTCACACCGCGGTGCCACCATCGATGAAAGTTACGAATAATCTGTCTGATAGTGTAAAACGCTGTCAAAGCTGCTGAAGCGAGTATAGGGTTCAACAATGCTGATCACTTTGCACGTGTTCTCGCGCAACCGAAACCACAGATGAAGCCACGCGCTTGGAAAAAATCTTGTATATATTCCTACCAAGGGATCTTGTATAAATTTTATGGGGTGTTATTCTATACAGGATTTTGTGTAGGTATATGGAATTCATACCCACATACAGGATCCTGTGTTGGTATAGACGATCCATACAGGATACTGTGTAGGTATCCTCCAGCGGCGGATTTATGGGTCAGGCCTGGGAGGGGCGTTAGGCATTCGGCTGGCGGAAAGGGGGGGTGGAGGGTGAGTCTGCTGAGAAATGACGTTACGGCCGAAACGTTGCCCAGATCTATTTTTTGACACAATTTTTGCGATGTCACCAAACACTAAACTTTTGGCTGGTTTTATGATTTTATTTTTAAAAAAAGTTGACCTTGGGGATTTAAAGGGAGGGGGAGAGAATCCGCCCCTGCCATACCAACACACAGGATCCTGTATAGGTGCACAGGATCCATAGCCACCTAAAGAATCCCGTAGAGGTAGAGAGTATTCATACTTCCGCCCAGGATCCTGTATAGGTACAAGGTATTCATACCCACACACATGGTCTATTCACGATCCATACCCACCTAAAGAATCCTGTATAGTTAAAAAGCACTCATAACTACACAGGATCATTTATAGATATACACGATCCACACCCACCTAAAGGATCCTGTATAAGTACACAGAATTCATATCCACCTAGAGGATGCTCTATAGATAAAAAGTATTCATACCCACACACAGGATCATGTAAAGGTATACACGATTCATACCCACCTAAAATATTTTCTATAGGTGCAGAGTATTCATACCCACACACAGGACCCTGTATAGGTGGGTGCATACAGGATCCTTTAGGTTAGTATACACAATCCATACCCACCTAAAGGATCGTGTAAAGGAACACATGATCCATACACCCTAAAGGATTCTGTATAGGTAAAAAGTACTCATACCCACACACAGGATCCTGTATTGGTATACATGACCCATACCCACACACAGGATCCTGTAAAGGTACACACGATCCATACCCACCTAAAGGATCCTGTATGAATAGGTATACACGATCCATACCCACCTAAAGGATCATAAAAGGACGTCATCCCCACCAGTGGAGATGACGTCCGTTGTTTATATAGTTGTATTAGTTGTCGGTACTGATGATAGAGTTGGCGGTGTTGGGAATCCTTTGTCGATGTTGCCTGTCATATAAAGCGGTTCGCGGGCTGGGAAGCGTCTAAAAGAAAAAGAAGGCGAGTTGTGTGCATGAGCGAGGGATAAATCCAAAGGTGTTCTAGTTCCTCTTGTCTTGGCTCTTCGTTACATAGCACTCGGTTAACACGACATGGTGGCAGCGGTGGGATTCGGCGACCGGGCAATATTGTCTCTGAAGAAGCTAGAAGCACCACCGTTGGAAGAGGCCCAACGAGAACAGCGAAACCTTCCACCTGGCCGGCTCCATGAACGGGAGCAGTGACGGCTCTGACACTTCTACCTCCAAGGCGAGCAGCTCCCAAGCGAGCAGCGGTCCTTCTTTCTTCACCCCATCGCGGGCGAGCTCCCAGAAAAGTTAGATTTCAGGGATCCCAACGACTGGAAAAGATGGAGCACCCGCTGGGAAAGACACCGCATCATTTCTGGACTAAATCACCGGGAGGCCGCGACACAGGTAAACACATTCCTTTACGCCATGGGGAGAGAAACAGAAGATGTTCTCATGCCACTCCTTTTGTCAGAGACAGAGACTACAGCGTAGTGAAGAGCAGGTGTGAACTCCACTTCATTCCGCGCGTAAACGTCAGACCTAAAAGAGCGAAATTGAACATGAGGAAGAAAGAACCAGACGAGGCAGTGGAGGCCTTCATCACGGCCTTACACAGTTTAGGGGACTTTTGCGACTATGGACTACTTCGCCAGGAGTTAATCTGTGATCGCATCGTCGTTAGTCTCCAGGACAGGAAACTGAGCGAAGAGCTCCAGCTCGACACGCAGCTCACGTCTTAAAGTGCGACAGCGTCAGCACGACATTTCAAGATAGTGAAACGACAGCAAACCGAGCTTTACAGCGATAAGACGGAGTCCAGGGAAATCGAGGAGCATCGTAACAGATACCCAAAAGAGAACGGCAAGAAAAAAGACGCACGCGGTCGGGGTACATCGAATCATCACGGAGATTTTAACAGTGCAGTATGGAAATGCTAATGATGTGGCAGTATGTGCACACATGAAAAAACCAAATGCGCCGCAAGAGGCAAGAAATGCAATACTTATAAGAAGGTAGGACACTTTGAAAGCGTATGCTTCTCTGAGCTTGCAGCAGGGTCTCAAATCTCACAAGTGCACAAACCAGGTCTCAACGAAGTGTTCCTGGGTGCATTGATACACGCATATTGTGGAGATCCCTGGTACATCAAGGCGAAACTTAGTAGCCAGGATATCACATTCAAGGTGGACACTGGGCCGTACGTCACCGCCGTACCCCATAGCGAGTACAACGTCGGAGAGATCGCGAAGCTAGGGCCAGCCGAAGAAGATCTTCGGGGGGCAGGAGACTCGCCGTCGACAACACTGGGGAAGTTCTAGGCGACGATAACTTGGAACTGCAGAACAACGAGAGAAACTGTCTACATATTGGATAGACTCCGACATCCTTTACTCGGTCTCCCGGCGATTCAAGCTCTGCAAGTACTGCGAATCCGGAACGAAATCAAGGCTGACAACCATCTGTGGCATTATGGACGCCATAATGCCACAGATGGTTGTCAGCCTTGATTTCGTTCCACCCCCCCCCCCCCCCCCCCCCCATACTGAGTACCCATCTGTATTTCTGGGACTGGGGAAGATTAAGGCACTTTATACAATCTCACTTCACCCAGATGCGAAGTCTTTCGCCATCACGTAGCCCCGACGAGTACCCATCGCACTTCTGCCCATTGTAGAGCTGGAATTGAGAAGAATGCAAGAGATGGACGTGATCAAGAAAGTGGAACACGCCACAGTCTGGTGCTCACCCATGGTGGTGGCCAAGAAGCAAGATCCGGATCTTCCGGATCTGTGGGGTTTATACGCAGTTAAACCAACATATACCCAGACAACACAAGTACATTCGACGTACATCCCTGGGTGATCCTTTCAAGATATTTGGATATCCCTGGGAAATGCGAATATATGCAAAGATAATCCAGGGACATTCTCAGGATATCGAAATGGCCACTTTGAGTTTATCCCAGGGTGTTACGTGACAAATCTTTAAGGATGACTGCGGGACATTTTAAGGAGGTCCCAGCATATCCTAAGGAGCTGCATGACAGATCTTTATGGATGACTGGAGGACATTTTAAGGAGGTCTCAGCATATCCTATGGAGCCACGTGACAAATCTTTTCGGATGACTGTAGTACATTTTAAGGAAATACCAGGACAGTGCACCGATCTTTCCCAAGTTGCTTTATTAAACGTATGACTGGTAACAACGTCTTAGGCGTAAAAATTCTTCAAAGATGTCGCTGAAAAAAAAAAAAAAAAACTCTTAATGACATTTCCTCACACTTGGTTTTATGTCAATATAACCACTTGAAAAAACATCTGCCGAAATTGCTGCTTAGATTTTCGTTGAAATGCAAACCATTTTACAGTTTTAGTACAATAATTGCAAATTCATGCCTTACACTAAGATGATAGCCACGTGCCTAAGACCTAGGGCAATGGTATTATTAGTGCGTGCAACTGCTCTGCGGAATCTGTATAAATTATTTAGCGCGTCTCTGGTTCTAAAAAAAATATACAGCGCCCGTCGTCTGTTTGGTATTCGTACCATAACTGGCGCGGATTACATGCAAGCTATGTGTTGTGAAATTCTTTTCCCTTTAGATTACGGACTCTTTTTTGCCCGCTAGTTTTAGGAAAATAATTTGCCTAATAACCATAGCCAAATAATTTGCCTAATAACCATAGCCTAATATTTTGCCTGCTATATTGTTTTTATGTGGTACGACCGACCCACTGATCGACATTTACAGGGTTCGACCAGAAATGTTTCGCGTTTACAACTGAACATTAGGAAAACAAGAAACAGCGCAAAAAACACACAGGATAAGTGGAAGAAGTAGACGGAACAAGCGTTGACTGACAACTAAAGTTCACTGAAAACACAAAACACACTAGCAAAAGCAACCACCATCCAAAATCCAAAAGCAAACACAAACAAAAAAACAAAGAGCTATAATTTTCAAGCTTTAATTGATGATGGTCTATCGTGCTTGCTTTTACTGCATGCTTTTTTGGTTGTTTGATTGCTTTTGTGTTTTTCATGGTCGTTTCTTTTGCTCGTGTGTTTTTTGTGTTTTCAATAAACTTTTAGTTGTCAGTCAGCACTTGTCCAGTCTACTTCTTCCACTTGTCTTGTGTTTTTGTGCAGTTCCTTGTTTTTGCCATGAAACAACTCGCCTGTATCGCCACCTTAATAAACATTAGGGTTTGGAGGTTGCAGAGGCATCATAAGTATCCCCTCTATTAGTATGAGTAGGATACTTCAGCTTTGCTTGTGAATACTATACTCAGTACAAAACAAATATACAAAATGTAAATTTTTGGCTTATTAAAAAGTTTGACGATGGAGCAACCATCTTCAATACTGTTATATACTTGGGAAATGTGTCTCCCTATTAACGTTTGCTGAGTTATAGTGACTCGGGCTCTCACGAGAGGAAAAAAGCGCCAGCAATGTCGAAAGCATGACTTACCTCTGGAGCTACCTGCTCCTGTATTGGGCTAATGGCAAAGAAGTAACACCAAAATCTGAAAAGAAAGTAAGCGAAGAAAGGACTTTTAAACAGAACATCACCGAACACTTAATCTCCATCAATCATTTCGTTTCCATAGACCTGCCAACTTATAGATAACCATTGAGACTGTTTGGCTCCAAATAAACATATTGCACAGTGACTAGCACTCTCGCGTGAGAAACAAAAAAAAAATTGGCAGTTTCTGTCAAAAGCATCCCTTACCTCTGGAGCGACCTGCTCCTGTATTGGGCTAATGGCGAAGAAGTAACACCAAAATCTGAAAAGAAAGTAAGCGAAGAAAGGACTTTTAAACAGAACATCACCGAACACTTAATCTCCATCAATCATTTCGTTTCCATAGACCTGCCAACTTATAGATAACCATTGAGACTGTTTGGCTCCAAATAAACATATTGCACAGTGACTAGCACTCTCGCGTGAGAAACAAAAAAAAAATTGGCAGTTTCTGTCAAAAGCATCCCTTACCTCTGGAGCTACCTGCTCCTGTATTGGGCTAATGGCGAAGAAGTAACACCAAAATCTGAAAAGAAAGTAAGCGAAGAAAGGACTTTTAAACAGAACATCACCGAACACTTAATCTCCATCAATCATTTCGTTTCCATAGACCTGCCAACTTATAGATAACCATTGAGACTGTTTGGCTCCAAATAAACATATTGCACAGTGACTAGCACTCTCGCGTGAGAAACAAAAAAAAAAATTGGCAGTTTCTGTCAAAAGCATCCCTTACCTCTGGAGCTACCTGCTCCTGTATTGGGCTAATGGCGAAGAAGTAACACCAAAATCTGAAAAGAAAGTAAGCGAAGAAAGGACTTTTAAACAGAACATCACCGAACACTTAATCTCCATCAATCATTTCGTTTCCATAGACCTGCCAACTTATAGATAACCATTGAGACTGTTTGGCTCCAAATAAACATATTGCACAGTGACTAGAACTCTCGCGTGAGAAACAAAAATATTGGCAGTTTCTGTCAAAAGCATCCCTTACCTCTGGAGCTACCTGCTTGCGGAAGACATGCTAGGCAGTCGGGCTTGGTGGCACAGACATACCAACTTCTTTAAAGTAAGGAAGGACAAAGGAACCTTTAGTGGGCTATCCCTGTACCCTTTGTTCCCAGAAACATTTGGAACTAACCTGTCAAGTAACTGATTAATATGAGGTTCAAAAGTTGTCTTTGTTGCAGTTGGAAAACGAGTGACTTAAAAACAAAACAATGATTTCCAGAAACAAATTTTTGAAACATTTTCACGTAATGCTGGGCTGCAATTTTTAATCAGTACTGCATATCAGTATTCCAGTAAACTTTGAGGATTCATTCATTAACAATAGCGATATAGTGTCTTTATGCTTGAGAGACTTATTTTCCAAACATGTTCCAGTATACAGCTAACACTTAAAGAACAAATAGAATGATTTGATACTCTTGCAGATCTACTTTCTTGTTGTTTCCATTACAAAACATTAAAAGCATTGATTCTGATAATTCTGCAAATAGTATTTTACATTAATCTAACTTGTAATTAACTGGATAAAACCAAAGACTATCCGTCATAAAAAATATGTTTGAAAGATGAGTTTACAGATTAATATCACAGCTGTATTAAATGCTTGTCACATTTAATATGTTGATTGAATAATTATTAATATCAAAAAATATATTTTAACATACTTTTGGCTGCTTTGTCCAGTCTCTCCTTTGAATGGGCCAACCATGACTTAACTGTTTGTTCGACATCATAATCCGTGGCACCAGAAAGCTTACCCTGCGCTTTAACAGTTTCTGAAACAATACGAAAGCATGAAGTCAACAGCCGTCGGGACCTCCGAACCACAGAGCCACCACCATATATGCCCCTGAAGGAAGTGAGTAGCGCAAACTTGAGTTCGACATCTCAGCGACTGCCACGTTAGACAGAACTCCGTTTGGGAATGCATGGGGAATCGGGAAAAAAAAAACCTCTTTCCCTTGTTACTACTAAATGTGCAGTGTTAAGACTAATATTAACATAATGTGGATGTTTTATAAACACAGTCTTATTAAACTTAAATCTTGGTGCAAATACAGTTGCCGCATTTTTAGTTAAAAACGACCCAGGTCGAGTAGACAATTTCAAGTAGACATTTCACACACGTGACCAGTAGACAATTTCACACACGTGACCAGCTTCGACCAACGAAGAGCGCTTGCCTTGCTCATTTCTCTCGAACTGATGGATGTCTGCAAATTTTGTTGGAGAAGGCAAGGAACAGGGTCGATCCGTCAGCGAAGCCCTTGATTAAAGGAATGCGCAACCCTGCTACCTTCAGTAGCATATGCAGTGCTCTATCCCATCTAGCCTCTCCCTCACAGTGTCGGGAAACCAAACGGGGAGCTTGAGAAGCAAATTTGTCGGCTCCTCTCAGCACCGATTTTGCTGCAGCCATTCTCACCCTAGAGAACATGCTGTGTCATGCTGTCAGATGAACTAACCAAACACCACTAAGCATGACGACTTCCATCATCAAGCGGGTATCATTCATGCCGCCCAATAAAATGCTCTTCCATCCCCGGAGAAGTGCCAATGTCACCACGCTAGTGCAGGAAAGGGCGACGTTTTCGTAAAGCGGTACACATTCCCCACAGTTGGTGGGGACTTGTCCCTTGTGTGAATCCTGCTTAAAAGCACAACAGTAACACTTCCGTAACAAAGCATTCACATTTGCAGGTAAATTGGCATTCATATTGTGCACGCTTACTGTTAATATACATACTAACACAATGGAAAAGATGGTTTTGAAAGGCCTACCTTTAATGATTTCCCAGCAGGCGAGTTCGTTAAACTTGCGCTTGCCTTTACCCCCCTTGAAGCTGTACTGAACAGCGATGTCGTCGGAAAGCAGTCCAACGAGAATTCTCCTTGTCATGTCAGGTCCAGAAGAACCCCCGTACTTGCCCCAGGAGACCATCTGACATTGAACAACCATGTAATTTCAGCATGAAAAACTACGGAATTCCACCCCATATTAGTATTCAGCTATAAGTTTAAAATTGTCTAAAATAGGAGTTCTATGGTTGTTTTACTTCCCATAAAAGTTCAGTTTCTGACTTTATTTGAATTGTAAGCCCAAGGTATTCTAGTTCACCACTGCTTTTTCCGCTACACTGCAATGCATTCACATTACAAATAGTAGTCGATCCATCTGCTTCAATGTTAGCTGCTAGGCAAAAGATGAAGCGATTGCACAATCTACTAGCGGAATGAATGGACACAAGGTCTCTTCCAAGTAGCAAACATGGGAGACTAACGCCCTTCCGTCTTGACTACACATCCGGCATAACCACCCCAATATCTTTCAAAAATAATTTTCTTGCTTAAAGGCCGACGACCAGTTCGCGCTTTCCACTTCTGCCCCGCTTGCTCCTCTCCACCCTTCTACCCTGCCCACTGCTGCCGGTTTCTTTTTCCCCATGGTGAGGAGGATCTTCTGCCTTGCAGAACCTCGAGTCTGGTCGTCGGCTGTTAACGTACATTATTTCAGCATAATCTTACAAAATGAAAGCTATGAATCAATAGAGCTGGACCCTAAAATAAATACAATCAATACAGTGAGCAAGATTGTCCGCTAGTTGGCCATGTATCCACTACTCATGGTGCATTCTGAAAGCGCACTTCTTGAGCATTCTTGGCATTTCCCATTGAGCATGCCTTCTTTTCTTTATATTCTCATCTTTTACGAGCTCGTGCTAACATTCTCATGCACAAGGTGCATTTTTGTTCACTTGTATGCCACGTGCAGTATACTCAAAGCCACTAAAACCATAATTGGCCTATTGATTAAAACTGCTCTAACCCGTTTAACGCTCCTACTGTGCAGATATGTTTTTAGTGCTTACAAATATGTTAAAATGAAGGTTAGTGCAAGTGGCTATTCACTTTATATAGGGTAAATGGTCAATAGCAGTCGAAGAGCAGACTTAAGTTATATAAGTAGACTCACCAGCCGTTTTTTTTTCTCTTCGGAGCTTGCCACAGAAGCATCAAAGTCTAAAAACGTTGCGAGTTCATTGAAGGGCCCAAAGGATTCGCCTGAGACAAGAATGTTCTCGTCGTTGCTGTTCGAGACCAGGGTGGTTAGCAACTCTAACTTCAGTGCATGTTCATTCAGCTTGAATTGGATGATGTGCAGTAGGGGCAAGATCTCCTTGAAAAAATCTGTAACAATGAGGGGTTTAAATTTTTTGAAAGTCAGTGAAGAGCTGGAAAAGCTTAAGAGGGGACATGAGCCTAAGTTTCCAAATTTTTTTGAAAAAATTCCTTTTTAAATTTCGAGGTTTTTGGTTTTAGAAACTAATTATACACCCGTACACTAAATTTCATAACTATGTGCCAAATAGTTCCGTTGATATAAAATATTTTCAACAGATTGTGAGGCAGTGACAAAGTAAAAGAGTTCAATGTTTGAATGCAGTTTTCTCAGTTCCACTTTTTGCTGCAAATTTGGTACGAAGGAATCTTTTGTTCGAAGGTAAAAGTATTCTGATACCACAATCAAGATGTTTCTGAACTGCAGCCGCTTGAGGCGGCCATGAGAAACACGCGGCATGACGTCAATGGGGAATCTTGTAGAAAGATAGAAAGTTGTGCGAATACCTGCTCGATAAAAGGTAACTTTTCTATAAATCTTGTTGTTCCAACATAAATATAAATGCGCCAAAACCCTCGTATCATCGACAAAACTTTTATTATATGGAGCTTTAGTGGCGCCATCTATCCAAGGTCCACAAAACCGTCGGCTCTACCTGGTACCGCGAACAGCCGCCAGAAGCCGGAGGGGGAGGGGGACATGGCGGGATGGGTAGTGATGAAACTTTCCTCCTCTCACCATATTGTTCGCTCTGCGCGCGTCAGCACGTGGTCACGAGCAAGCGGATGAGTTCTCGCCGCTCACTGATGGCTCTAAAGAGAGCTTCACCGGAACCCCGCGCCTTCCCATTGACGTCACAGTGCACTTGACTCGGAAGATAGTGAATGAGTTGAGAGGCGCCGAAAACCTCAATCTTTGTCCATTTTTAAAATTAAAACTAGGGCATGCAGGCGAATGCGTTTTTTTTTTGTTCTTTACTTCAGAAATGCCGGGACACCAACTTCCACATTAGTTAAGCAAAGCACTGAAACTGTTGCACAGCTCCTTTAATAAAGCAGGACATGGCCGGGTAGACAATACCTGTAAAACCTTGACTGAGCAGAAAGATATTATATAGCAGGGCATGGCTGGGATAGACTAATTAATAATCTTTAACTTTTATGGTGCTATGGCCTAGATGACTGCAAATCCTCAGAACACAAAGGAGCTACAGCAACAGCAAGTTCTCATTTTGCTTACTTGGAGTGACATGATCGGAACGAGTTGCCTGAGGCTCATTTTGGAGTGGCACCAACCCTGTTGCAGCACTAAAATGGGGGGTTCCTGCCCTGAAATCACTTCCTGCTGTGGAACAGCCTGCAAAGAAAACAAACAAAATGACCATAGTTTTAGTTAGCTCTATTTAAATTCTATCTGTAGTTTCTTTTGTTGCAGCTGTCTGTTTGCCTCGGCAGTTACTAAACCTGTGTTCCATCATATCCCCAATTCCTATCTGGCCACACTATTGGTTGCTGTATCAGAATACAGTAGAAACGCATATTTCTACGAAATATGAAGGCCAACAGCGGAAGGGTTATAAGGCCAGTCCAATACATACTTGGCATGGCGCTGTCACTTGCTTGAGGATCTCTGCACTGAAGAGCTGACTCTGATCTGGCAGTCTTGTGTCTCCTGAACTGATCTACATGCCAAACAAAGAAAAAGAAACTTTTTACCTTTCTAAAGCAAATCATGACGTCTTGAATCTCAGCATTCATGCCATGATACAATGAAGTTGATAAGATTGGAAAAATGCAGAAGCAACATTGCCAACCTCCTTTTCAACAGAGGCCACAAAATGCCATTTATTATAGTGTGATGCATTTTAAATATACTCCCGTGATGCATTCACACTGAAAATATTTTAACTAATATTTAATGTCATGCTATAAAGAAAAAAGCACACGTCACATGAAGCGTTCTATACCTTTCCCAAGGGAATGACTAACCTCCTTGACACTATAGGCCGACTCAAATTAAGACAGACCTCTGGAGTATGTTAGATGCATTGTCAGCAACAATCTTTATGCATAAAGGTAGCTAAAGAATTTAAAGATGGGTGTTTCTGTTTCGAGTTGGGTTAACAAAATAACAATATATTGTGCTGCATTAATCATAGGATATACAACGTGCAACTCCATTTAACTAGGGCAATTTTTTGGATTAAATAAAAAGCAATAATGACCTAGACGGGCCTTTGTGACCTGGTTGTGGCTCCTGTCTTGAGTACCACATAGAGTTGATCGGTTTAGTAGCTCTACAAGAAAAAAAAAATCAGTGATTAAAAAAGACTATTAACTGTTACACTTGGTTAATTTTCGGTTGCTTACAAAATTATGTCACCTGTGTTACGATCAGGACGTTGCTTTGGATGCAACGGCGAGGCAGATGCTGGTGGCGATGGCAGTGGTAAGGATACAGCAAACTGGTAGCTGTCATCAGAGTCTGAGTCCGTGCTATAGCGCCTGGCTCGCCTACGCCGCCTCTTCGGCTGTTCAATCTCACTGTAGAGGTCTGACAACTCCTCAGCCTCAGGAAGCCTCTTCCGTGCATGGTCATATGATGCTGAAGAATATTGAATGGCAGTTAGATGTCGCTCCATAAAGGCCGTAAGTATATGCAATGGTTATACATCATGTTCAAATTTGGCATTATATATCTTGTACCAAGAAAAGCCCCCAATTGAAAGTGCCTACAGCAAACATGTTGACGCGAGCGCAGCTGAGTCAGCATGAACCCGTCTTCCACGCCCGTGGCTCGAATCCTGAAACCTGCTATCGTTTTACCTCTTCCCATTGCTGTAATGTTCTAGTAAAATCGAAAATCTTACCATTTCTTGGGGATCAGAATGTTTGAGGACCGAACTTTCTAGACCGAATCTGCCAGGAGGCAGTGCGGTTACAAAAGGGACTTCACGTGGCTGCGTAGTGCCACCACCGTCAAAGGATGTATGGGTTAATTGTTTTGTTTTTATTTTGTAGGCACAAGTCTGCCTTATTAAAACTCTGTTTTAAGTATTATAAAAAAAACAGTTTATTGCTTCATTCGTGAAAGCATGTGCACGGGTGCGGCAAAAAAAACCCATAAGAAACATATTCATCCAGTTGGCATCTGTGCTAATACAGACTTGATTCAAGATAAAATAAATTGTTAGCCTCACAGTGACTGATAACACTAAGTGGAAATGGAATAATCTATGAATCTATGAGTAAATACTCACCAAACCATCCAATGGGAATGCATCGAAGTCGCCGCCACTCGGACGTCGGCTGCTCACCGTTTTTGACCAAGGATTGAATCTTTCCGGTGTCCTTTGGCCAATAGCAGATGTCCCCGTCTAACCAGCTCTCATGTATGAGTGCCACACCATTCTCTTCATCGGGAAACTTTGCGATAATAAATGGTTTCTCTGAGAAAGATGAAATGTTGCATTTTAAGACATCTACCAGTGCGCAACTCTAACCAATCGGACACGTCAGCAGCGACATCGTCGCTCCTGTGGCCTTTGGGAAAAGGTAACAGCAAAGCCAAACATAGCATCCCAGAACTCGTCTAACATAGCTCAATTGAGATGCAACAGTGGGTAGACTGCAAACTTGTCACCCAGAGGCAGTCGAACACATTTGAACGCCACATCTTGTAGGGGCCATGATGACACTGTGTGTGGGCAAGAAACTAGAGAAATATTAAGAAGCGACGACCGGCATGGATATGTGTACAGATCCTCTACTACAGAGTACCTCCTTCCAACAAGCACTGGCTTCTTGGACAAGCATGAAAATGCAATGCTGTGAACCTCTATGATGCCACCATCCAGAAGTGTACATGTGTTGTCTCGTTTGTTTGTTGCAATACAGAACCTTCCTGGAATGTCGACTTTTCTGTACTGAGGGCTCCGACAGTGTGATGGCAGTGGAAAGTCTTCATGCTTCCCGGAAAATTTTATTGATTCGCTTGGTCGGATCTTGTCCTTGAAAGCAACGGCATTTTTTTTTTCTGCTAGCCTGTTGCAGAGTTGTTCTAGTGGCTTTTCTGGTTTCCTCAAACTCTTTTTGAAGTTTTGCATGTAGTTTTCAAATGCAAAGGCACTCCACCTGTCCAAATGACCGTGTGCCCTGACATCATTTGCCAAGTGCAAGAGCCCATGAACATTGTATGAAATAAATTCGGTTTCAAACAGTGACTTGCAGGTCTCCACAAAGTAACGCAGAAGCTTTTCAGCATAATCAACAAGCTCCTTTGAAAGCCTTGGTGAAGCCAGGATTGTTATGGCACAATGGAGAATCATAAAGTTTGCCTGAAGGTCTGATCGAACTGTGGATGGAAAGATCACAGGACCAGTGTACAGCAGAAGAAGTCTGAATTCCGTTGCTTTCCACATCTCCATATCCCAAAAACTTCGAGGCCGACGACTAAAATCTGATGGAACAAAATGCCGCAGTGCTTCGCTTTTGGTGGAGAGCTCATCCTTTACATTTGACCCCATCCGACAGGCTTTTGGTCCTTTAAACCAGACCCTCATCAGCTTATGCACGACACCAATGCACACCAAATGCATGTAGTCAAGCGGGACTTGTGCTACCATGTCAATTGGTAGTTTCTCAAGTATGCTCACACCAGTGTGATGACCCTCATCAACATGGCTCCTGAAACTGTCATTTGTTCTTAAAGGGGCGTCTAACTCGGGGAAGCACATCCTACCAAGCGAGACTCCCTCAGTAGTGCACCTACTGCAACTTGAGTAGCCCGAGTGACCTTTGATATGTAGGATGTAGGCTCTAGCTGGAGCATCACACACTAATGCTGTAAGCTTCACTTGGACGGTCACATCCCTAATGGTCACGCCGGAGTCAAGTGCCGCGTTTAAGTCATCTACGAGTGGTTGTAGGAATTCATTTGCTTTCAGAGCCTTTGAATGCCCATAGAACACACCAACTGGAAATGGTATGCCTGGTCCACAGTTAACCACCTGGCAAAGAATTGGCCAAAACTGTTCTTTTGTACTTTTCCTCAAGGGAAGTCCATCAATGTTGATGTGCAAATTCAGAACTCCGGGAAAGTGTTGGACATTCTCAAGGCTTTGCTGAAGTTGAGTAGCGAGACCAAAATGACAGTACTGGCCGCCACCTATGTTCACAATGCCCATACACATTCTAGGTGTTTGAAGAAGGGTTCTAGAGCACCCTGGCAGCTCTGCAAAGCAAGGGTGTGTGCGCTGAACCTTCAAAAGATCTGTCAAGCACTCATGAGTTACATTGTGTCTTATAGCCCATGTCTGGAGCATTGTTTTGAAGCTCTCAACACTATTCTTCTGTGTAGCACTCACTGATACAGATGTGCTTGGCACCAGTTCCTCAGTGATGTGGTTTATGTCAGCAGAAAACTGCTGTTCCCTAGAGTCAAAGGATATGCAAGAATCATCCGAGATGGACCCCAGTTGGTCTTGTGAAGAGGGATCGCCTGTTTCACTCGATTCCTGCTCAGAGCACGTCTCCGACTCGGAGGAGAGTGCAGCATTCAGATAACCTCTCTGAGGGTTTGACAAGACAGGGTTTGACAGGACAGGGTTTGTTTGCAGGGAGAGCTCATTGTCAAAAGTTGACGCTGTAACTAAGTTGACACTATCTCTGACTGCATTAGAAATATGACGCCGTAGGGTACGTTTTGATTTTGGCATTGTCTGTAAATGAAACAAAAATACATCCTTAATGGCTGGATATTCACACACGACATGAGACACCTCAATAACATGAAATGTATACATGCAGCAGCTTCGTTCTAAATCTAGAAATAAAGCCTATGATTACTGCAGCTGCACTGCTGCAATGGGCAAAGATTATCTGGTTTTCAAACCTTTTGGCTAAGGACGTACCTGAAAGTCACGGATGATACAATGATTTATATAAGGCCTTCAACAGCCTTTGGAGACGGTCGTAAAAGCGCAGCTACATATTTCGATAATGTTCTGTCGTGGAATCTGGTATGTATGTACAGTCGGGAGCAAAAGTTTGCGGGGCACGGGAGCGCGTGCCGAAATGCATCGCCGCGCCGTCCGACGGCGCGCCGTCGCACCAAGAAGCAGCGCTTTGCGCATGCGCGCCTTTCGTGCTCGCTATCATGCCTCTTTCGCTCGTTTTTTTCTGACGCACTCCTGATAACACGAGTCGGCGCCAGGGGCGCGAGCCAGCGCTTACTGGCTGTCATGCTGCGCGTCTGCTTCAGCCTCCTCAGCCGCCGCGCTTTGTGACGGAGCTCCCGTGGGGGGATGGGACCAGGCGCTTCGTCACAAAGCGCGGCAGCCGAGGCAGCTGAAGAGGATACGAGGCATGACAGCCAGCGAAACGGCAACTTGCGCCCCTGGTGCTGACTCCGGTTATCAGGAGTGAGTCGGACAGAAATGAGCGAAAGAGACATGACTGCCAGCACGAAGGGCGCGCATGCGCAAAACGCGACTTCTTAATTCGGTGGGGCGCCGTTGCACGGCGCGGCGATGCATTTCGGCACGCGCTCCCGTGCCCCGCAAACTTTTGCTCCCGACTGTACATATATACTTATGAAATAGTTATGTTTTCTCCTGTTTTGGAGGCGTTCCTAAACTTTTTCCATTCTGTATTGGAGGCGTTCTTAAACTGTTTAGACCGCGACACAGCACGAAAAAGCGATCATCAACTTCTTCCCATATTAATATCATCACACATGCTCATAGGGGTAAAATACAAGGGCTGTGTCTACAGTGCCGTCCGACGGCACTCCAATCGCGCCTACATTGCAAGTGCCATCCGAAAAAGTAGGATGGTGCGGTCCTACTCTTCCTCTCTCCTCCTCCTCCCTCCTCCCCTCCCTCCCTCCCTCCCCCTCCTCCCCCCCCCCCTCCCCCCCCCCCCGGCCGGCTTGCGTTCACGCCGCTTCGCGGCGACAGTATGCGGCAGCTAATTACAAAACTATTGACCCATTTGGTTTGCCGGCTGACCAAGTTCCGCTGTACCCGATGCACCTCCGGAAATGAAGCCCCATACCGTTTCGTTCAGCGAAGTTTCGACGACAACGTTCGCTTTTCCTGTGTTAATCGTAAATAAATGTAAATATCGCCAAATGCGTCGGCAAAATAAAATTTTCGAGAAAACAAAAACAAAAAAGTGGAAGCCGTTTACAACTCCCTGTAACGCTGAATTTGAGCGCAGCTCTTGAGGAGGGGGAGGGAAGGGTAAGGGGGGTGGGTGGGTCACGTAACCTTGGGGGGCCACGTGACGATGCCAATGACGTCATCAGTGACGTCACTGATGACGTCATCAGTGACGTCACTCATGTGACGATGACGATGCGGATACCGATGACGTCATCAGTGATGATGACGATGACGATGCGGATGCCGGTGACGTCATAAGTGACGTCACTGATGACGCTATCAGCGATGATGACGATGACGATGCGGATGCCGGTGACGTTATCAGTGACGATGACGCCATCGGGGGGGAGGGGGTCACGTGACCTCGGAGTGGTCACGTGACCCCCTCAGGGTCACGAAACCCTTGTGAGGGCAACTCACGTGACCTCGGGAGAGGGGGTCACGTGACCTCGGAGTGGTCACGTGACCCCCTCAGGGTCACGTGACCGGGGGGTCACGTGACCTGAGGAGTCACATGACCTGTTGCATGCAACCTGTTGCATTTCCTCTGAGTTGCTGCATCTCAGGTTGCATGCAACCTGTTGCATCTTCATCGAGTTGCTGCATCTCAGGTTGCATGCAACCTGTTACATCTCCTCTGAGTTGCTGCATCTCAGGCTGCATGCAACCTGTTGCATCTCCTATGAGCTGCTGCATCTCAGGTTGCATGCAACCTGCTGCATGTCAGGTTGCATGCAACCTGTTGCATCTCCTCTGAGTTGCATGCAACGCGCGGTTACGCCGACGGCGACGGCGACGGCGACGGCGACGCCGCTCAGGCTGGAAACGGGCCCCTAAGAGCTGCGCTCTAAAAAGTAGGCCCGCACTGGGGAACGAACCCGGGACCACTTGCTTATGAGACAGAGATCCTACCACTTGTTTTATACGAGACTTTCGGACGGCACTTGAACGCGCGAGTGGAGTACCGTCGGACAGCACTTGAACGCTCTGCAAGAGTGCCGTCGGACGATATTCTAGACCACGACCAGTCGTGCTCTAGACACTACGAAAAAAAAAATGCGCGTGACCAACGCGCTGGCTGTCGCACACACAGCGAGCCACAGCCCAAGCACGCCTTCGGCGTCTTTTTTTTTTTTTTTTTTTACATTACCAAGATAGGATATCGAGAAGCACGAACTTTTTCCTGATAATTTGTAGCCCCAAACACACATTTTCCACGACACTAAGAGTTTTGATGACACCAAATGAATTCTAGAAGACTGAAAAACAGTGCATAAAGTCAACACTCAATCCGGCCTTTTGCCCAAATTGCAATCCTCACAATCCTTATTATGTCTCTGTTCGTCAACTAACTCAAAGACTGAAGCCCAGAGGTCGATTTTAAGTGCCCGTTTGGACCGAAATGCCTTTATAAATTGTCTGAATTACCAAACAGTGCGAGGCTATGAGGTACCGACCGTTTACTCGCTACAGCACATCAAGAAATGCAAAATCCAAATTCATGCAAGACATTTAAAACAGTGAGCATAGAACGTATACGATCCATACCGTGGGTGTCGTTCATTATTTAGAGTTGCAAATTCTTCCAACGACGAGTGAACAAGCTATGACGACGAGCACGGTGACGACGAACAAACAGCGCGCGCGCGAGTTCTCAATAAAGATGGCGACCGGCAAAACGCTAGCGTTCATACACCGGCACTAGTTGCGTATTTCAAAGTAAAATTCTTAAACACTATTCCAGCTAAAGGTCTACAAAATAAATTGATTAAGATGTTTATTATTGCTGAAATTGTATTTATTTAACGTGTTTTGTGCGTCTAAACAAATACGAAAATAAAGTACGTTTTTCATATCCTCGTTTGATCTCCCTAGAATATCTGGTGGGTACGTGAGACGATGCACCGATAGGAATCTCCTAGGGACATACTGGGGATGTCATATCCCGAGCAGTAGGTTGGGAGCTTGTAGGGATATCCTGGGGATATTGTGTGTTGTCTGGGTAGTGCGGGAAAGAATCATCATGCCGACGGTGGACGAAAACCTGGCCGAACTCGCAAGAGTGACTGTCTTCAGCAAGCTAAATTCGAATGCAGGATATTGACAGGCATCACTGGCTCCAGAGTCAAGGGAGCTGACGACATTCATTACAGCAGTGAAACGATTCCAGTTCAAGCGACTCCCGTTCGGGATAGCAACAGCGCCAGAATTCTTTAAGCGCGCAATGCTGCGGATCCTCGAAGGAATCCAGGACAAAGTGTCTCACATGAATGACATTCTAATTTTTGTATGAAACAAGCCCCAACATAACCGAAATTTCGAACTGACACTCCGCCACCTCCATGACGGCGGAGTGCCATGGAGGTGACCTTACACAAACAATTGCGAGTTCGGCAAAAGCAGCATCGAGTTTCTAGGGCACATTGTAAACAGAAGGGGTACTGCGACTGAACTCAAGAAAACTGAAGCCATGGCCAAGATACGAGCTCCCGCTAACTTGGTTGAGCTAGGGTCATACCTGGGGATGGTAAACCACCTCGGGAAATTTCTACCGAACATAGCGGAGGAAACCAAGCCACTCCGAGATATCCTGAAAGAGGATGCAAGTTGGGTCTGGAGTGAAGCCCAGGGAAACGCGTTTCAAAGAAACAAATAATTGTTGGGCGAGACTCCAATACTCACGTTCTTCAACCCTAACGCACACCGGACACTCTCAACTGATGCTTCATCGTATGGACTAGGAGCGGTGCTACTCCAGGAGGACGAGGACGGCACCAAGTGACCAGTAGCTTACGCTTCAAAAGCACTTACTCCTATGAGCAGAAGTATGCGCAAGTCGAAACATCTCCACTTGGTGAATGATGTTGATTGGGGCTAAGCTCCGGTGGTGCTGATGATACTGATTTTGTTCATAGGTAGTGCTGATGGTGCTGATTTTTTTTCCATGTCAGAAAGACAATGCGTGGTATGGGAACGTGGTTATATACGCATTTGAACATTTGACCGCAGCGCTTTCTTGTCTATAAACGTTGAGCCAATGCATGCAAAGTTTAACGTGATTATATACGCATTTGACCGCAGCGCCCTCTTCTGTATAGACGTTGAGTGGCTACATGCAACGTTTCATCCATGACATCCCCAGCTCTTGAGTTACTACCACATCTCAGAGCCCCCTACTCGTCCCGCAGTCGTGGCCGAGTGGTTAAGGCGATGGACTAGAAATCCATTGGGGTCTCCCCGCACAGGTTCGAATCCTGTCGACTGCGCAAACATTTTTTTCTTTTTTTAAGAAGACAGATGGGGATGGCAATCGATGTGAGCATGGACGCCTGACGGACAAGGCTAGACCCTAAGGAGCTTCGCCTCTAAAAGAGGCCTTAATGCCCGTTCACACTCTTGCGACCTCTTAAAGCTGGGTTGCTTAAAACCTCTTACAACGAGAGGACACACTGGCGCCATTTCTTGGGTAGCAGTGTAATCCTGGCGATCCTGCATATTTTCCATTTCTCTCGTGCATTATCCTTTCTTTCTTGGCTCGAAAAACTTTTGTGAACGGTATAAAGGAGCCCTTCTTATAGATATTACGCACTTTTGACGTCGGACGTCCCGCAAAACCTTCGCTCTTGTGAAATGCAGTTCCACGGTCAACGCATAGATGGCGCCAGAATGCCAGTGTGTTCCATCGCCCTAAGAAATTTTAAGGAGTTTTAACAGATCTCGTCTCTCTCGGCCGCACTCGGTTGCAAGAGTGTGAACGGGCCTTTAGCGATCCTTTGGACTTGCGAACATTTCCGCACCTACTTGGCAGGTCATGGGTCTCATCTAGAGACTGACCACAAGCTATTGGTACCGTTGCTTTCAACAAAACGTCTAGACGAGATGACGCCACGGTTACCGCGGTTGCGAATACGAATTTTTGAATACGACTTTACGATATCACACGTACCGGGCAAGCACATGTACACAGCAGATGTGCTGTCTAGGAAACCTCTACGAATGATGAAACTAATCTGGCGATGCAGGCGAGTTGGTTATGCATGTCGAAAGTAGTGAAAGCTTTAAATAAAACCAGCAAACCAGTCAACAAATATGACTAGTCATCAATGACACGGCCACCACATGTGTCAATAAAGTCCACTTCCTTTTTGTGAAGGAAAGGTGAGGGCTGAATGACACACTTATCAAGACATTCCTTCTTTATCATGTAAGCCTCCAGTACCTCCCTCGCCACCTTTCCTTTACCTCTCCCAACGATTGTAGTGCCTTGAAAGTTGGGAATGCAACGGCAATCTCTGCATTGTATGTGTAAATGGGCTCCTGTTGTTGAACGTAGTGATAAAGCATGTTCACGCAGCCGTTCATTCAAACACCTTCCGGTCTGGCCTATGTAAACCTTGCCGCAGCCGAATGGAATTTTATAGATCACGCCAACCGCACATTCCACGTATTTGTTTACGTGCTTCACTGTGCAATGCCGCTTATCTTTGCCCTTTTCTTTTATCCTCGGACATAGTTCAGCCAGTTTACGTGGTGCTGAGAAGACCAGAGGTACCTCGAACCTTTCCGCCACTTTTTTATATTGTGTGACACCCTTTGTAAGTATGGCATCACGTGGGGCCTTGCTCTATTTTTTGCTTGACTTTTTTGCTTTGGCCCCTGAACTTCTTCAGAAGTTTCTCAGCCACTGCGAGCATAAGGAAAGTTGGATACCCTGCGCTTCCAAGTCTCTTGACCTGACTACAGAGGCTGTCGTGCATGGCATGGTGACATGACTTTCCAATTGCCGTCTCTAGACATGACGACGCAATGCTCCGCTTCACCAACTTTGAATGCGCCGAATCATAGGTGAGGATTTTTTTCTGGGTACGCGGTTTGTAACCCCAGCACACGTGTTCCCCTGTGAATTGCATTCGCAAATCCAGAAACTGTAGAGACTGCCCATCCTGGCGTTCAAGGGTGAACTTCAGGCCTCTAGAGCTTTCTTTAAACACGCTCATCACATCTTCAACAACTTCACATACAGTAAGGTTTTCACAGTTTTGCAAAATCACTAAATAATCGTCTACGTACCTAAAGAACTCGGTCACAGGTTTGCCTTTCAATTCTTTCTCAATGGCTCGGTCCATACTTGGCCAAAAAAATATCACAAAGCACTGGGGCAGCACAGGAACCAATGCAGATATCAGCCCTCTGCAAGTAATGGTGGCCCTCAAAAAGAATAAAAGTCGACTCCAAGTAAAATTTTAAAAGTTCCAAAAAAAAAACGTCAACACTCACACCACAAGCGTTTTGGAAACCAACAACGCCGTTTCTCTCAATACATTCGCCTACTGCCTCAAACAATTCTTGGTGGGGGATAGAGTAATAACGATCCTCTACGTCAATAGAAAACGCCACGGCATCCCCTGGAGCATCCTTCGTAAGAAACTCCACCACTGAATGAGAATTGTTTACCAAAAAGGGGTCACTGATATCTACAACGCTCACGTGCTTCTGCAAATAAAGGCTAACCTGTTTGTGCCACGATCCCCTCTCCTTGACGATTGCTCGAAACGGCGTATCTGGCTTATGGGTTTTTGCCGAGAAAAAAACATCAAGATGCGCGATCTTGCATTTCTGTACGTTTTTTTTCAACGTTGCAAGCTCAAGACCATTGCACAATTTGAGCGCAGCACTTTTGACTTTTTTGGGTTCAAGATGAGACAGCTTAAAATTCTTCTGGATCGCGTTCCTAGACCTGACTTCCATCATGTCTATTTGAAGCGCCACGAACCCTCCCACTTTGTCTGCCAGTAATAGGCCTAGGTTATTGCTCTGGAAAAACGAAACGACTTTGTTTAGCCTGCCCCCATTATGTGTTTGGGCCTTTATCGAGGCATACCGCAACAGGCAATCCACACCCTCCAAAGCGCATCTCTCCCGCTCTTCAGCTTGCGCCTTGTCAGAAACAGCCCGCACCTCGGCTAAAAGCTCATGCGGTTTCATGCGGGGTTCTAAGCTATACTTGGGTCCTTTTTCCAATGTACTTGCGACATCTTTCGGAACGTGAACATCTCCCAGAATTCGCAGGCCGCTTTGACTTGTGGTTCCTGGCCGAGTCTTTTTGGGAATCCCAAGTCTCTCGCGTTGCCACATGGATTCAGTCACCTGTGTCACCAGTTGAAGGTGATCCCGGTGTTTTCGTTGCCCGGTTGTAAGGACGTTGTTGCACAATCACAGCACCCTAACGTACTCATCAAGAAACCGCACTTCCCTCCAGCATTCTGATCTCAAAATCCTGCAGATCCAGTACCTTAGGGTGCTGTGCTTGTGCAACAACGTTCCTACAACCGAGCAATGAAAACATCGGGACCAGCTTCAACTGGTGAAACAGGTAACTGAATTCATGTGGCAACGCGTGAGACTTGGGATTCCCAAAAAGACTCGGCCAGGAACTACAAGTCAAAGCGGTCTGACAATTCTGAGAGATGTTCACGTTTCTAAAGATATCGCAAGTACATCGGAAAAAGGAAACAAGTATAGTGTAGAACCCCGCATGAAACCGCATGAGCTTTCAGCCGAGGCGCGGGCTGTTTCTGACAAGGCGCAAGCTGAAGAGCGGGAGAGATGCGCTGTGAAGGGTGTGGATTTCCTGTTGCGGTGTGGCTCGATAAAGGCCCAGACACATAATGGGGCAGACTAAACAAAGTCGTTT